TTGCTAGAATGTTGATATCAAAAGAATTTTAGGTAACCCTCAAAATGGAATTATTTTGTGAAAATTGATGGAATGTACCATTATTTACACAATAATGCTCAGAACAGGTAAGATTTTTTTCTTTAAACAAAATGAGCTAAAGAGGCGAAAGTGTTTAAGCGTCTTAACACATTCACCTTTACATTAGAAAAAAATAACAAACTTGCCCTACCTGTGTGCACATACTAATTTGACTGGTTGTCATACTTAAAGATAATATCTAGTCTTGCAGTTTCATCAGCATTGAGGTTCAGGGTAGGGTCACACAAGCCATTAACAATTTGAGTTTTAAGAGCAGAGGTTTAAAGGTGACAAACATTCTAACTTGCAACTCTCAAACCAAACCCCAAAACCTTCAAAAAATTGACAATCATGGCATCTGATCAGTCTATCTATCACTCATATCCATATCACATATAAAATACAACAGCATATTAGGAGCTAGGGAAGATAAATTTCAAGACTCAAAAGGCTTCAAGTGAGTACAGTACCCATCAGTATTGAGAAATGTAAAAACAACTTTCTTGGCGCTCCCTTTCTTAAGGAAGATTTCTATAAGTACAGTAGCTCACAAACAAGTACTACAAGGGGCCCTCAAAGAAAGGGGTAACACTTAACTTGAAAGGACAAAACAATGTGCAGATTACCAGAGTGAGGTGCCACTTGATCACAAGTTCTTTAAATTTAAAAGATTATTTTTGGCAATAACCAATACAAATGATTCTACAACTAATATGTAGAAGAACTTATAAGGAAGTAGGAAGACACTCAACCAAACTAAGGTAAACCAAATTTCTACAATTTAGAGCTTGAACATACCACAAGCAAGGTCAGTCTCAAAAAGGGGAGTACATTGGGCCCAAACACCAAAACACACAAAAAATAAAAACAATCACACAAGACTTCACAAGGCAAAAATATTGTTCCTGTAGAAATATCAAACCAAATTCACACACAATAAGTTTTGCAAATGTTACAGGATTTTAGCACAAATTACACCTCAAGTATGTACATAGCATGTAACCAAGGAAAACCTACTGAGTAGAGAGAGGAGTAAGTTGTAAGTACAATGGGTATCACAATGCCCCTAACAGACCAACCCACTTTACCGGTAACAAAGTCTTTCGTAAACGTGACAATATTAGATAAATCAGCAACTTGTGCCCCAGAAAACATTGAATTCATAACACCAAATTGTCTGAAACATATTAAAAAATCTGAGGAGACAGACAAGCCAAACATTTTAGACATAAATAACAACATTGAATTGAAAATTATAACATAACCAATTCAAGCAATCATAAACTTGCAAATGATGCAATGATTTACATTAATAACATCATTTGGTAACTACAGGGTAATTGAACAATAGGGCAAACTTGAGTTATCACACAAAAAATTAGAAATTTTTAAGGAATGCACCTAAATGCACACTTGAACATGTAAAGGTACAACACTTTCAACCCAAATTACCACTCTAAACAGGAAGGTACTTGGATGCTAGCTAACTATGCAGTGACCAAAATATGGGATCACTTTTTAGACAGTCCCCAAGACTGTCTCTATTTTTCTTGCTTATAAGAACAAGATCAACAACTATTCATGCACAGAAGGATACAATAGGAAGTGGAACAAACTACTGTACATGGAACCAGACCATCAGACAGATTCCTCCTTCACATATTCATGCATTGATTAGAAACCGAGGGAATAACATCATGTCTGCATAATCATGAACAATCTGGAAAGAAACACAGAGCCATATATTAAGTACACACACACAAATCATAGTTCAGCGGAAACAGGTGAAAAAAAAGCTTGTCTTTTACCTCCAGCAAACTCTGAGTAGTCAAGACAGGAATCTCACATGAAAATCCCAGAGATTTCAATCGAGACCCATCCATGAATAAATTTTTGTTGTACAGGAGCTCTTGATCCATGAATGGTGTTAGTGGGGTGTTCTCAACGCCACTTGAACAACAAGCTTCTGCCCACGGGCCCATGTGTTTATCATTTCCTTCCTCCACAACACTGCTCATGTCAGCCTACAATAAATAAATGCAATACATTTTACAACAAGCATGTTTTAAAAGCCTGTAATTGGTAAAGAAAATTTACATCCTTGACAACATACCTTGCATATCATGGATAAAGCATACCCATAATAGTCATGACTAATTCCAAAAATATCAGAAATCAAGGTACTAATGAGACCTTGGGTTGTATCACCTTCATCAACTACATTGAATATTTTACCCTTAGTGTCATCTCTTGTGGCGACAAGCCAGATGGCACGACATACATCTCTCACATGGACAGTATTCAAATGTAAATCAGCTGTCCACAGCAGTTTCATCACCTCATTGAGATGCTTGTACACAGCCCCAACTATGAGACGTGGTGCTGTGGAAAGGGGAAGCAGTTGAAGTCAAAATTCTATGCACTCTACCAATTATACTAAATATATATAACAAATCATACCAAGTCCATGCCTATCTCCAATCCCATACACAATTGCAGGTCGTAACACGCAAAAGTTGAGACTGGGAATCTCTTTTAGCTCTTTCTCCACTTGTAACTTGTAACGAGCCACAGCTATCCAAGGGTCTGCAGTATCATCTTCATTGTGCGGAGCCTAAGGGAATATTTCCATTAACACACCAAACTTTAAATCATATGCAAAATAATGGAAGAAATTGTAACAGGAACTGAACAATGTGAATAACTACCTTTTCAGTTGATGCCATGTGGCCTGAGGAGAGTTCCACAAACATTTTGACGTTATGTTTAGCAGCCTCCATGGCACAATTTAGAGATAGCTTAACTATTCCCTCTTGATAAACAGGATCTGTTTGTCCAGTTTTCGTCTCACATGCGCAATTAATCACATAATCCCAGCTGATTCCATCTGCAGCAAATGCAGCTTCACATGAAGCTGCAAAACGAGACAAGTGTTACAGAAATCATCAGTTAAAAGCCCTCCAAAAATAATAAATAAATAATGAAAAGAGCTAAAGGATGAACAAGTTACCTGGGATAATGAGATTAGCGCTGCGGAATTCAACTCTTTCATCATCAAATATCTTCTTGTGTAGAGAATTAAGCCAGGCAGTTTGAGGCGGAACTTTATCAACAACTCGTACATGGGACACCAAGTCATTTTCAATCAGATGACACACTAAATTGCGTCCAATGAAGCCACAGCCTAAAACAGCAAATATCAGTTAATATGTGACATCAACAGGTGAAGGTAAATGTACAAAAAGCACCAAAAGTGAAATTCAATAAAATAAATCATCAATATTATTGCTGAAAATTTATGGTGGTTCCCCAGATATTATCAATGATCGAGAATTATCGAAATTTGTAATGTTGTCAGATTTGTCAAGTGTCAAGAGACTGGGAACACTGAAATTCTTCATATCAACGAGAACCACTCATACTATGACTCATATTTGTGCATGAAACCAAGTGATGGGCAAAGAAGGAGAACTTGCATTAAAAGTGGAAGATGAGGATAAAACCATCAAACTGATGGCAAGCGCAAGAAGGGCACAATTACATGAAATTGCAAACTTTGGCATGATTATTCAAGCAGAAAATTACTATCCCGCCATGGAAAACTGACACCTGACAGAGCGCGAGGTACTTGTTAGGCGAGTCTAACGGCAAGAAATATTGACACCTGCCTGTTCGACACGACAATGAAGTACAAGATTAATCTGACTCACCTCCTAAAACAATGACAGAAGCTTTAGAACATGTACCATTTGCCGTGGCCATGGTGATATAAGGTGGGTTTGACAAGTGTAATTTCCTCTTGTTCTCACCGTGTGAATATCCGCAAATGCTCTCTTTGCACCATGCCGTGTTACCTGCGAATAAGTGCAAGCCTAGTTAGGTATCCTGCGAATAAGGTTTGTTTGTGTTGTTTTCGGTTGTTTCAAAGATTAGGTTAAAAAGAATCGTCGTTTTGCTATCGTTTTTGTTGTGACAGTGACAGTAGTGTGAAAGTATCACTTTGATACTGTCACATGGAAATGGAAGGACGAGAACAATTAAAAGAGGCCATGGATATCGAAATGGTAGACGCTCAGCCTAAAGAACAGGTAGAAACGTTCAAGAAACCACAGTTCTGCCTTGTTGGTCCTCGAAAAAGTAAAGGAACGAAAATACGTGTAGTGGACGGACCAAGTAATAACAGTTTAAAAGAAGAGAAAACCGAAACAACAGAAGCCCTTATAGAGTGTCCCCCCTCGGAGGAAGTTGCACCGGATACCCCTAAGGAAGCCATCAAGCCTGTTGAAAACTCTGTCAATGTGTTGAATGAACCAGAACACAGAACGTCCAAACCTAGAAAAAGTGCTCCTGCTCAGAAACTTAAAGAAACTCCTATTCCATATTTGGAACCAAAATGGGGTGGCATACCTTCCGTGCGCTACAGCTTAGATGTAATCAAGTCGGGCACTGTGCTGGATCCCATCGACCTGGGGGACAAGTCCTATTTTGTATTTGGACGGCAAACAAACTGCGATGTTCAAATGGCTCATCCAACAGTGTCTAGACATCATGCAATTTTACAATATAGCAAGGGTACAGATGATAAACCTCAAGGTTATTATTTGTTTGATCTAGGAAGCACTCATGGTACATTCTTGAACAAGAACAGAGTAAGACCTGAAATGTTTATTAGAATCAAAGTACGTTTTATTTCATAACTAAAAGTGTTTCATACATTTCTTTTTGTTCTGCAAGATATTTTTATTTTTGCTGTTTCTTTTCAGGTGGGTCATCAAATTAAATTAGGAGGCAGCACAAGACTCTATTTACTTCAAGGACCTCCAGAAGACATGGAAGATGAGTCTGACCTGACAGTCACTGAACTCAAAGCCAAGCGTCAATTGGAACTTCAAGCCAGAGAGCTAGCAGAATTACAGTTTAAGCAGAAGGAAGAAGAAGAACAGAAAAAGAGAGAAGAGGAGGGTATAGATTGGGGAATAGGTAAATTTATTTTCTTTAATCCTTTTATTTAGTATATTTGGGTGTAAGGTGGACATGATAGAACTTTCCATTGATTTACTGATTGTTTTCACAGGTGATGATGCGGATGAGGAGACTGACCTCTCAGAAAATCCTTACGCCATTACTACTAATGAGGAACTATACATCGATGATCCTAAGAAGACATTACGTGGCTGGTTTGAACGTGAAGGTCATGAATTAGATTATGAGGTTGAGGAGAAAGGCCCTGGACAGTTCCTATGTCGAGTGGAGTAAGAAATTTATCATTTGTTTTTACTTCTTAATTATCTTGAAATACAATTATAAACTTTTCATAATTTTGGTTTGCAGGGTACCAATTGAAGGTGCACGTGGTGGATGCATGGTAGCTGAAGCATTAGTGAAAGGAAAGAAGAAAGAGGCAGTTGCTCAATGTGCTCTTGAGGCCTGTAGGCTCTTGGACAGATTAGGGCTTTTGCGTCAAGCTAATCATGGTAAATTAATGAATATATTTTTACACAAATTTATTTTGTATCCCATATTTGTATTTTCTAATCTATAAACCACTGCTTATCAGAAAGTAGGAAAAGGAAAGCCAAGAATTGGGAAGAAGAAGATTTTTATGACTCTGATGAAGATACATTTTTGGATCGCACTGGAGCTGTAGAGAAAAAGAGGCAACAAAGAATGAAACAGGCGGGTAAAGTTGAAGAACAAGTTGAAACTTATCAATCTTTGGTGAGTATTTTAGTTTTTTCATTAAAATGTATTGATTGGAATGGAATTTTCAGTTTCATTGGCTTTCTACTTGACTTTTTACAGTGTGCAAAACATTCTGATATATTGAAGCAGCTGGAAGACACACAAGCTCAGCTTCAAAAGGCTCAAGCAAATCTAGCAGCTCTTAAATTAAAAGAAAAGAAAGAGGAAGGTGATAGCTTGGAGTCCTTTATGAGCAACCTCTCAAGTGTTGGCTGTGTTGACAAAAAGCAAATTAGCAAGCTGAAGGTTTTTATTCTTCTTATTTCTATTCATTTCTTAGTCTATGTTAAATAAAAAATAACCACTGCAATTTAAAAAATTATTTGCAGGTTGATTTGGCTGCTTTAGTCAAGGAAGAAGTTCAAATAAGGAGACTGGTGAATATTGCGAGACCAACAAGTTTACCAGAGCTGGTGGCACCAGCCTCTACTTCTGATACCCCAGATACAAAAGAAGCTCTGAAAAATAAGTTGATGCTTGCAGTGCGCAAGAAAGCTACAGAAAAACTAAAGGTACTTATCTCATTTCTTTGCTCTACAATCAGGCTTGTCCGTGTCTATCTAAGGTAAATTTGTATTTTGAGTTCTTTCTCCAAAGGGTCATAATATTTCAAGTGTTGGATTGTTTTCCTGTTTAGAATGCACCCAGCACGTCTACTAATCAAAACCTTCACCCTTCAAAAGCTTGTGCTTTTGAAGATCAAGAGGAGGAAGAAGAAGAGGAAGATAAAGATCCCGAGAAAACAGAGAAGCCTTGTAACCCTCATAACAAATCTGAGTTAAATAAATCCCCAAAAGGTATGTGTGACCTTTATCATCTCAACTCTCAACTAATCTACATCATACCAGTGTTGGGTATTAGCGTATCTTTAAAATATACTCTCTAATCTAGTAATTGATTCATGTACTTGAAAATTTAATTGCAGAGACTAAAACAGGTTTGGATAGATTAAGTTCTAAAACGGAAGAGATCATTATTGGGCCATCAAAGCCATCATTTTTAAAAAGCACAAATGAATCACCTGAAATTGAAGATGTTTCAACTACGAGGCATGAAAGAAACTTGAATGAGAGGGACCACAGCAATAGCAGCAATGAAGATGATGATGATGAAAGGTGTTTAAAGGTGGCAGAGAAGAGGAAAAAAAGAAACAGACGAAGAATGTTGCAAAGAAATGAAAAGGTATGTCAGTTTGCCAAATGATATTCTACACTTCCTTTAGACTTGTGCTAAAATGCCAATGGTTTTAAAAACACTTTGTTCCAGGCTTTAGAGAGAACTAAAACATACGATGCATCAGATCCCAACTACTCTGTTTGGGTTCCTCCTGAAGATCAATCTGGAGATGGCACAACAAAGCTTAATGCTAAATTAGGTTATTAATGTTACTAGGTGTGTTGAAAGGAAAGGTGCTTAATTCTATGTACATATATTTTTAAGATACTAAAAAAGATCATGTTGTAAAAAGTGCGTTTATCCTTTATGTACCTGCGACCTGTGTATGACAGAAAAACCCAGGAAACTTCACTGTAATTAGGGAAAGAACAAAAAAAAATACAATAAATGTCCAAACTTTCCTTGGTTCAACTTCAGTTTATTGTCCTCATAAAATGTATTTCCTATTTTCCATCACCTGACTAGTCCTCAGCATTTTATGCATAATTATTAAACTCTAATACAAATGACAATGGAGAATGACTGCACTGGGCTTCATTGGCTAACTAGTATTGGCAACAATTTAACATATTGAATATTGTTCTCATTTTATACACAGAAAACAATTGACTTCACAAGTCTAAATGTATTCTAAAACAAGTTAAAAAGACACATTTAAAGCCCTGTAAAACAAAACAAAAAAATATCTTTTCTTATAGAAGGTTGACCTGCTGAATAAGATGAAGACATCAATGGGGAAAAAACTGAACACACTAGAAAATTCAACTTAATTACTCTAGGCGACACGGAAATTCAGGTAGTGACATGTAGCAGCAGCAACAACAACATCAAAATAGTCATGTCTAAAATAATATGTTGAACCAAGCGCACAATATTGGAGTGAATGGTGTAATAAGGAAGATTCAATCCACAAAAGCAGCTAAAGTACACATAACATAAAACAAGCAGGAGGTATAAAAGCATTAATTACACAATTAGGACATCTGAACACAAATATAATCACAGATACACAGAATCCATATAAAATAAAGATTACAACTACAATGTGATATAGTAATTGCACCAAAGAAATCTTTGAGATATCTAATACAAAAGCCATTGTTACGTATGATAATTAATGCTCAAATATCATTGCTCTCTCTTCTCGAAAACATGTCCCACACCATAATTTGACTCTCTGATTTATAATGAAAATGAATTCTATATTCCGCTTGAATGATAAAATTACACCATATGTCAGCAATTCGGATGGATGAGGCACACACCCACAAGAGTATTTAAAAGAAGATTTCTAATTTTTGCCACACTAAAACGGAAATAAATGCACGAGAGATAATTCCTTTTTTTTAAGACAGGCGTCTGAACAGAAGAACAAAGTGCAAACATGACAACAAGCATTGAAAAATGTTAGGCAACTTCAGTGCTCATAAATATACAACTCTGAGGCTGTACATAAATTTAAAGTAACAAACTGAAGTTCCTAGGAATAGCTTACCAGCTAACTAGCTGGATGAAAATTGGTTTGCCACAAACAATTCATCACACATTTTCAGTCCTAATTATCCTTTCTCAGTCTCATGGATCTATCCCAAATTTGTACCAAAAACCCTATGAATGCAAAGTACTTTTGCAATGTTAAACTTTCTCTGTTCACAACATGTGTATTGTGCAAGTCATAGAAAAGTACCTTTCATTTCCAAGGTTATTTTTATACCACACCACAAAAAAGGAAAAAAAAAGAGGAGCTTCTAGTTTTGGTAAAATGAAACTACACACAAAAAAAGCAGTAAAAATTAAAACAAAACAATTTGGGTAAAACTATTAAAATGACACAAAAACAAATCAAGAATAATGACATCAAACATAAGTAGTGATGCTACAATCACATGATAAATGCTCTCCAAATTAAGAAAAAGGCAGGTGCAAGTGTATTACACCCACCAATATATTGGCAACTGGAATAGAGGCAACAGAAATTTAAAACTATGGTAACACATTAACTTTTTAAAATGTCAGCTACGAACAATATACATAAACAAGTACCTTAATACTAATACCAATACATATAACAATGATTTAATAAAAAGCTTCCAAACCATTACTCTCAGTCTATTTCATCTTGGCACGGATTCTGCTTAATCAAAATTCAATCAATAACATTCAAATAATTGAGATTTGTCTAACAAGATTGAGTACACACTGAACATTCATACTTGACTTGGGTATGGCTTTATGATATGTAAAAACATAAAATACATATGGTAAAAGGCACAATTGCACATTCTGCAAAGCACATGGATACCAAGTTAAATACAAGTATACACTAAATCATAAAGATGCCTTCAAAATGTTTGTCAAGCAAAATAAAAAAAATTGTAAATAAAACTTTATTCAATGTTAAAAGTGTCAGATATTTCTCGTACATAAACTTTTGGGAAAAATCCAACCTGGTCATTAGCTTTTCCCTTCCACCATCCCATATGATCAGCCTCCTTACTCAAAACAACAACTTGAGTGCCTTTTTTCAGTGGTAATTGGTTAGGTTCAGTAGTATTGTAGTCCACCTCTGCGACAACTACTATGCGTCGGAACGGCCATCGCAGTTTAACATGCAGCCTGCACAGCCATATCAAAACGGGTGTCAGTACTCATATAAAATAATAGGCTAGCAAGAATTGTACTTCCTGCAACCACAAACTTCCAGAAAAAGAAATTATTGACTTACCCGATAAAATTTTCGGCGAGGCTTGTGTGTTCATAGCAACTAATCAGCTCAACTACACTTCGATGAAATCGAGATTCAGAGAGGTAGTAGTGAGGGATTCCGTCAATTTCTTTTTCATAAACTTTCATATGCTTTACTTCATTGTCAGCTCTGATGATAGAAATGTTGTTTTAGAAGAAAGGCCAGTAACTGATTGAGTATCAAACCGACAGTACTTACTTCATACTGAGAGCATAGGCAGTTTCATTAGGGTGGGTTGGTCCTTGGGGACGGATTCTCAACAAATATGTTCCATCAGCAGTCTGTTCTAAAAGGCTAGAAGCTTGATCCCTTCCCATTTCGCCAACAAACCTACAATTATATGATGGGAAAAAAAACACATTGAAGTTTATTTTGTCAAAGTAAGGAAGAGGCCGACAAATCAAACTTCATGATGATTCTTTTTTCTTTACCATAGATATTCCTTTAACAGCTCATTGTCATGAGCCCATGACCGCCTGCTTACTTCTCCCGTAATTAGAGGTAATGGTTGAGGGAGCTAAAAATGCAAAGGCAGTAATAAAAATACTTTAAATTGATATGAAACACTTTTAACACCGTTTTATAAGTATGTAGGATAAATTTACCTGAATGGTGTGGTTTATGGCATTGGGATCAGAATCATGTCTAGGGCTTAAAAGTGGTGGTCTTGGTGGAAGTTCAGGAGGGGGCTTCATTCCACATCTACCAGAAAAGGGAATGCAAGGTTTGTGACAAGCGATGGCACATCGCTCACAGCGGTAACCCTAGATGAAATGTTAAAAATACACTCAGCAAGGACTACTTTTGGATACATGAGTTTCAGTATGAGGAGCACAATTAAAACTCACCTGGAAAATTCTCCCTTTCAGAAATTTGCTACAATGATTACAAGTAGTAGGCTTTTCAAAAGTTATCATTTGAAAACGATGGTCTGTATTTCTGCATACTGAAGGCTCAATATTGTCTCTGATAAGGAAAATTACTTTGTAATTACATAGAGAACGTAATACAAAATGACGCAGGTATGTTACTATAATAAATAAAAAATGACTACTCACAGAGCATCTTGAATTGCCTTGATCCATTTTCTTTTCTGATCCTCTGTGCGAGCATACATTGTGAAAGCAGTGCGCTCACTTTTGCGCACTAGCAACCACTGATAATGATAACTCCAGCGGGAACCTTGAAGCACCCGTCTATTTGTCACATCTTCAACTTTGTACTCTCGTAGAGGGAGAGATTCTTTAAAACTGTACTGGTCATTCTATAAAATCAGAAAATATAGAAGGTTTGACTTTAGGGAGGAATTTAATGTGATAATAAGTGATATTTGAAGAAGTGTAAAAACTCACCCTGACAGACTTGCACATTAGCATTACTTGATCAAATATGAACACATATCTGGAAAGAGGACATTTGACATATATTGATTTCTCTGCTCTGCTTTTACCACATAAACATTTTAAATTTTACAAGAAGATACTTAAATTACCTGACTTTCACTTTTTGGTCATTGTGAGCTTTGATCTTCAACTCTCCATCTTTCAGCAATCTCCCATAATCTTTAAGTTCAGTATCTTCTGGCATTACCCAATCTGATATACTTTCTTGGATATCATGCATTATTTCCAATGTATCACTGTCACGCTTAACTTCATTACAATACTGAGCCACATCAACCATTGCTTCCTTAGCTCGTTCAAGGCCTCTGAAATCTTCATGATTCTGTAACACAAAAATGTATTTTAGGCCGCTTGCTTGGTCATCTCTAGGACGACAGAAGAGCCTATCGCCCCAGTTCATATGATATACACAGATCAAATTGTTTTCAACTTGCATGTTGGGTTTCACTGATGAGTTTATCCAAGAGCAGATGATATTTCAATATTCTCTGCATGGGAACTGAAAGGATATCCCGCAACTTGAATTTTCCATTATTTGCGTCTTGTTGGCATCTCTACCATTAAGAGAAATTGAGGAGAAGTTATGCTTTCTTAAGTTGGAACAAGACAAAATACAAATGTTCTGAAGTAGTCTACATCATTTACTTACAATAACTTCTTGATTGACTTGCTCATTTTTGGCACAAACTTCTTGGATGGTGTTCTGGGCTGCAGTAAGATTAGCACAGTAGTCTCCATATATGAGAAACTTTTCACGCCAATTGATAAAAACTTCACTTAAGCGAAGAGAACTCTGTGGGGTACACGCTTTCCTCAATTGACTATGAAAGCCCACATGAATTTCAGAGAGCTCCTGCAAGGTCATTATCAAATATAGAGATAGATATATTCACATGAGTTTGCAACATATGATTTACATAGTAAACTAACACATTAGATCAAGAAACATGCCTTTATGCCATGAAAAACAATTTTCATATCTTCCTCCTTCATTACATTACTTAAAGGTCTCATAAAAGAACGTTGCAGAGTAGATAAAACCTCAACATACTTTTTTTCAGTTTCAACCAATTCATTAATTACATAGTCTCTTTTCTCCAAACTATGAGTTATTGCTGATGGAACCTGAAATTAAGTCAATATTTAACAGTATAGAAAATGTAAAAAAACAAGAAAAGTACATGAACTACATTTTAATAATTTGAGAATAAAACTTCAAAATTTGTGTATAACATGCAGCTCTAAAACCAGAAATGCTCTAGAAAGCTTAACATTTTTTTTCCAAGCACAATAAAATAAAATCCAAACATAAGCCAGTCAAAATACACTGGTTCAGAAACCTTTGCAACGCTATATCTATTTGTAATAAATAATGTGTATGATATGCAATACTGTATTTACTTATTTCAAAATTCCTCAGAAATTTAATAAATTTCTGAGGTAGTATTAATGAGTGCAGAGGAAGGAAACATACAAATGGATACACTCATAGAATGAAATTGAAAATATTGTCACCTGTACTTGAACTTGCTGTTTGTGAATGGAGCAAAGATCATGGTAGACTTCCTCATTCTGTATGTGAGAGTAGTAAGTTCCATATTCGTCCACGTCAGAACCACCTTGGATTGTTTCATCCTCACTAAAACACACAACATCAAGAGCTACAAGCCAAGACAATCTAGCATATTAACAACTAATAATAGAATAGTGATACCCAGAATCTACAGTGCTATCAGCTACATATTCAAGCGATGAAAATCAGGCACTGGTTTGCAGTTTAACATAAAATACAATGCTAAAAAATCTACAATTGAAAATTTCTAGATCTTAGAAAATGAAAGCAAGTAAAAAGTTCAAATATATATCGTGAAAGTTAGATAAAAAGTCCATATCAACTATAAAACAAGAAGCAGATCATCAAAGCAAAACTTAAAAGTAACTCAGTCACCAGCTGTTAGCTAAAAACACCACACACAGCAAATGTAATATCTAACTATGCATGAACTCAAAAGGTACTTAATAGGTACCTCATTGCAGAATGTGACACAAAACAAATCTGCATATAATTCTTCCTCAACTTCACCAAACTTGGGACAAGGGATAGTAAACTGTAACCATGGAACCGTCCGCCATGTGTCCCAAGCTGGTGTTATGTCTGGATCTGAAGGAGTCTCAAGGCTGGAAATCCATTGAGAGTAAGTGACACCATTCCCCACACAACCTGTGTATCACTCCATTGTCAGTAAGACTAAATTAAAGATCTTAATTCTCTAACTACTTACTTGGCATGCAAATTTCTATAAATATCCTCTTGAGACAATGTTCTCGGTTTAAATGAGAAGCCACTGAAAATAGAAGTACAGGTGTGATTAAAGTAGAACTGACTCCAACATCAAATGAACTGAAATGTTTTGATACAAAGACTTACGGAATATTTTTACGTTGGATTCGAGGACAGTTGGAAAGCTTTGAAAGAGTGTGCAACACTCTAAAGAAGTCTGACAGGTCAAAGAGATGGAGAGGTTCGAATAGTTCCGTTTTCTTAATCCCAAAGTAGTCGTGACAGACTTGCAGGAAGGCCTTGATGTTGCGGAGACACAGAAACTGGAAACAAGAAAATTCTATGGTAAAAACCACCTATACAACAATGATACGACAAATGTCACAATTTCTTCAACACCCCTTCAGATGGCAGGCGACACCTGCTAAAGTGTTGACACACTGTCTCTGACAACCGCAGTCTCACCTGTGCCATCTGCGGCTTCTGGTTCACATCCTTCATCTCGATGCACCCCGGTTCCAGGGAGTTGAGAAGGTTGCACAGCAGCACTCCATCGCGGAGGGTGTAGGCGAGGTCCGAGACCAAGGCGTCTGCCCAGTTCGCCTTGTGGTCCGGGCGCAGGGCCTCGCACCTCGTCAACCAGCTCGCGCAGTCCCGCCACACCTCTCCGGCCAGCGAGTTGGAAGCGAGGGCCAGCTCCATCTCGCCGTGCATTTCACTTTTACAGAGACGGCGACGACGAAACAGCCATGGCGCAGCAGTCCGCGTTTACAAAACAAAATAAGTTTAGCAACACTAGCAGACTTGACAACAACAACGGACGGGAATGTGGAGGGAGAGGGAGGGGGGACGATGAAGAGAGGGGGGGGAGGAGATTCTGATACGACGGTGGTCTGCCTGCGAGGCTACAGTAGCGATATGAAACATTTCGCTTCTTATGCGCTGCGCACCCTCTGCGAGACTATGTGGGAAAAGCGCGCGAACCTTGTCCATCCCCGCACGTACGGTGGACTGCCTACCTTTCAGGCGGCGAGGCCTCGGCCGCCTGCACCGACCGTTTGAATTAATCTGAACGCAATTATCTCTCGCGTCCATTTCGGTCGGTGGCGTGCTCGTGCTGGGGTCCGCGGTGGGGCGCGTGGCGCGTGTCGACTAATATCTCGGTAGAAGGTCGAAAGAGAGAGGGGGCGTGCGGTCAGAGGGAGCGGGAGAGAGAAGTTCGTTAGAGGTGCACTCGCGGAGCTTTGCGGTTCAGCGAGCGGGTGGTCACTCAAACTTTTCAAAAGTGTTGCAAAAGTGCAGGCCCGAGTCGCCCAAATCCTCCGACTGCGTCATATTCAGTTTTTAGACAGTCCCTTGTGGTTCTGTCTCTACCCGAAGGTAAAAGTTTCCAGTTTTGATAAAGATAGCCGATTAACGTTCCAGTTTTGATAAGCCGATTGACGATTTTGATAAAGATAGCCGATTAACGTTCCAGTTATGATAAGCCGACTGACGATGATAATATAGATTCTCTGTGGGGGCGGGCGTTTTTATTTTTTTCAGAGATCTAGCCGTTGAGTTTTCATGAAATCGGTTGTAAGTCGCAATAAAGGTTTAAAGCACATAAAAAAACAATAAAATGTTACCCTTTTTCTGTGCGACTCTGGGAAGAACGAGAGGAGGCAGTCGCTGCTATGAATCACACGATCATCAATAAGAGCTACCGCCGTTTCTTTCCCTCTTTCTTCTTCATTATTTTCTCCATTTCTCCTCTCACACCAGCCCGCCCCCCTCCCCGTACGGAGCAGCTCGCGGGGCAGCGGCAGCCCGGGCAGCCCCCGCGGCGGCACGACCACGACCGCGCGAGTGCGCTAGAGTGCGCGACCCAGCGCCAGCCAGTCTCGCCGCCGACGGCGACCTGCGCGAGCCACTGCCCTGGTCACGAAGAGCAGGGCCTCAACCGGCCTCAACCGCTCTGCGCGAGGGCTCGCGACCTCGCAACAGCCGGACCACGTGAGTAAAACAATACACGGGTGCGCTCACAAAATAGCCAACTTTATTTTCCAGAATGTTGGGAAATTCAGGACTATAGCGGATGACAAGTGTCTTGTTGTTGACTCATGATTATGCTTCATTCGTTGTCCTCGTGCGGTGCGGGCAGGGGGTTGCCTCTTATTTGCTTGTTGGGGCTCTAAACTTAGCCTTTAAAGGCGCCACTAGGTCCGAGATGATCTCGCATGCGGCACCGGTACCGGTCGACCGGGTCGACCGAATCAGGCACCTGGTGCGATTATTAAGCCTACGATGCGACCTTGCACGTGGTTGTAGGACTCGTGGACACGCGTGCACTTACTGATAGCACCCTCCCGGAGACTTAGAGCTGCAGCCGGGTGCAGTATTTTAGAAGCTTTTACAGTGCACTTTTGTGCACTGGTGTCTATCAATCTGGATGAGCGAGCAGCCCTGCCCTTTGTGTTTCCTTATCCTGTAACCTGCTCAGAGAGAGCTAGAACGGTCTCGAGCTGTCCGCCGTTAGTAATTGGATGGAACGAACAACTTCAGCTGTCACACTCTGTTGTTTGCTAGTCGCTGTACCATCTTATACGCGACAGTATCACACACTTCCAAGGAGTGTGCCCTCCTCTGTTGCAATGCCGCCAGGACGCTCCCCGCGCCGTTCACCTTGGTACTTGTATGGAGTTTAGGGTGCACCAGTTGTTGTTCTGCCCAGGTGACGGCACCCTTGCCGCTGCACACGACAGATGGCGAAAGACGCTCCTCGCTCCCTGCCTCTCTCGTCCGTCTCCCGGAATCTTGATGAGCGCCTTCTCTTCTCCGGCGTGTCATGTGCATCGTGCCGTCTTGTGCCGTCGCGCTGCTGTTGGGATCGGTTGGGATGCGCGGGCGCTGGCGCGGGGCCCTTCTTCCTCGCCGAGTCCTTGTACGGGAGCGCCGTGTATTGCCACCACGCGGCGGTTCTGCTCTGCTCCCTTGTGGTCAAGACCCCCC